GGGTCGTTCCGTGGCAGGGTTAAGCATAAATCAATCGGACCGTCTTTCGACCCTGTGGAAACGACTGCGGCGAGTCGCCGAAGATATCTCGGTAGATGAGAACTGACAATAGGTGTTTGCGTTTGTTGTAGGAGCCCCGGACGTTGCCGGCGCGGGACCTTCGAACTCTGATTCCGATCGGCGGCGAATGGAAAATTGTTTCCTCGACGTTTAAGCGAGAGGCTTATTTTTCGTAACGTTCTTCGAGGCGTTTCCTTTATTTCAAACAAGTTGTCGCCGTTGGCAACGAGACGCGGAAGATGGTCCACGTTGGAACGAGATGCAGCCGAAAGCGAGTATCGAGGTCTCGCGGAGGATCCTGTTCGGGCAGAAACGAAGAACAAGGGAAAGAGACGCGGAGACGCGAAGAGAGGGATGGCGGGGCTGGATGGAGGGTTGGTTGCGCTGTCGCGCGACGTGGCTCGCGGTAATAGGATTTCACGTAAGCAGCCTCCCAGGCAGCGGCCAAAAATCGAAGGAGCTTACGCGGAGATGCGCCGCAGCCGCCGCGACCGGTGCAGCCGGTGCAGCCGACGCCGCGCCGCGCCGCGCCGTGCCGTGCTGTTGCATCGGAACGGCCGAGCAGGAAAAAGCGAGTAGCAAAAGCGGCATCGAGGAGGATGTAGAACCGAGAGACAGAGGAAAGACACAAAGAGGACCGGAGGAAGAGAGACGGGAAAGAGCAGCCGAGAGGGGGAGAGAGAGGGAGAGAGAGAGAGAGAGAGAGGGGTAGAGAGAGAAAGAAAGACGTCCGGCCCGTACAATTTTAATTAACCCGGTACCGGGTAGCCGATCGCGATCGAATCGGGTGCACGATCTACAAGGAATCTACATAAGATCCTCCACTCGCGGCTACAACTCAATCCCCTCTTTCTATTCGGGGCCTTAAGCCTCGAGCCTTGAGCCTTAAGCGGCCCGCCACGGGCTCCGTGGATCCGGTGGACACGGGAACGGCAGAATCTTTGCACAGCTCCCGCCGTGTGTGCCCTCCCCCGTGCCTTATCTCGGCCAGCATCGAAGATAGCAGCCTCCGCTGCTGCTGCTGCTGCTGCTGCTGCTGCTAAGAGCCGGTCTATCCTCTCTCTCTCTCTCTCTCATATACACAGCCGAGCTCATATTGTTCTCCGCCAAGGCGTGTAACTTACCGGGAGAGAGACCGCTTCTCGCTTCTCCCATCTCCCTTCTCGCTTCCAGCCTTCCTCTTCTCGGGAAAGGAGACCTGTCTCTTCGTTTTTCGCGCGCGTTAACAAACGTTCCACCCTCGCGCGACTCCTCTTTACCGGATTCTAACGCGGTTCTTCGCGAGAGTCGATTAAATTACTTTTGCGCACGTTCGTCTCGGAGAAGCGGCTACCGCATTGTATGTACAATCGACGTATCGCATCGTGCGAGCAGTATTTATCGCGTTCGCAACGGTGCACGAATCGCGTTTAATCGCGTCGCACGAATTCCGTCAACGTTCTACGGTCTCGGAACCATTCCGAGAGCAAAGAAGAGAAGAGAAGAGAAAGGGGAGGGAAGAGAGGAAAGAGAGAGCCACTCGTGGAAGGAATCTCGCCCGTGTTGGCGCGTCCGCGCGTCCGCGCGTATTAGAACGCGCGGCCGAAGCGACGAAGACGAGGACGAGGACGCGTGCACCCATACGTAGAGAAGCTCGGTAACACGATAGCGGCCGTATGTAAAACCATCTGGTGTAAAACGAGCTGCTGGCTCGTTCGAGTATTAAATCGGCCCTCTCTTACCCCGTTGCTCCCCCGTGCGCCCTCTCGAATCCGCCCTGTGCCCTGTCCCTGTCGCCGCGCCTCTTTCTCTCCGCGTTCCTCCTACTTCGATAGCCTCCACCGTTCGACGTTCTCTATCGGTCCTCTTCCTCCTCGTCCTCCTCGTTCCGCTCCACGATTCGGCGCCTCTTTAGCCGATTCCGCGTCTCTTTCTCGCGCGCGGCTCGAGGCGGGAAGAGGCGAGGCGAGTCGGTCCGCCCGAGACTCTGTGCGCCGTGCGAGCACGAGCACACGCGTGGACACGAGGAATCCGCTAAGCCGGTCGGGCTACGGGGATGTCGCGGATGAACTCGTCGAACGGACTCGATGTCCATGGGTAATCGAGCGATCTTTGATCCAGGGACAAAGGAGCGATCGTCGGGTCTCCGGATAAAAGCCTGCAGTCTTCGAACGACGTTCCCGATTAAACGGATTCTCGATCGATCGAAATCCCCGAGGCTTTCGGGGCAGCCAAGGGCAACCATTAGAATCGTTTCGTGCAAACGCGAAACCTTGGACACGGATTTGTAGCGGCAATTTTGCTTGTTTCTTTTTAAGCAGGGACGGTTGCATTCGGTAGCGCGTGTCTATGTGTAAAAAATGAGCAGGTAGACAATGTCCATACGGTATGCAAAGTCTGTACAGGTATACGGGGCTGGGAAACGCGAAAGAGGGGATCGAGAGTATCGCGAGGTAGTCGATTGTTTGGAATTAAGTCAGTCGGTCGTTGGAGAGCGTCGGGTCGCGTCGCGTCAACACCTGCCTCGAGTTCGTCGATTCCGCGTTCGTAACGATGTGGCAATTTCTTCGTTTATCAGTCGCTTACCTTAATTACATACCTCTCCGATCAAAATTGTTAAAAATAATAACATTTAAAGCGTACTGGATCCTACTGAAATTTTAAAAAATTAACAAACTTTTAGGTTGCGTTTAAACTCCTACCGAAAAATATTTCAATATGTTTGTAAAGTATTTCGAATTATTAATTCAATTATTGATATTAATTAGCGATATTAATTCGCGATATTAATATATTAATTAGCGATAGGAAACGGAACGAACTTTTCACTCGACGCCTTCAATTTTCCTGTCCGCGTACGTGCAATCGTATCCGTTACCTCCGCTCGTAAATAATTTTCCTTTCGACGTAGCATTTATATTTCGCAAATTAAATAAATTATATATTAATTCCGCTTAGAGTATACCTTTCGTTCGAGGCTCGAAACTTTTAAAATATCGTAGATCGCATCTTCGGTCTTCGCGGAGGCTCGCGGAGAGACATGGTAAAAATGATCGTCGCTCGAAACGGTACCTCGAATCGAGGCCAATCCGTTCTCTATGGGATCCTGTACGTCCCGCAGACGTTCGACGTGCTCCTATCGCGTTACACGAGTCCACCCCCGTGTTTCGCAGTTCGTTCGATCGTTGGATCGGTTCGGTTAAATTCGGTTCGGTTCTCGAGAGCCGCGCGATCGTTAAACGATTCTCCGCCGTGGGGTCTCTGTAATCTTAAACGAACGACTGGACGGAGAGCCGCGTTCGCGAAATTTGCATTCGAAGTTCCCGCAGCGACGAAGCAACAAACCCGTTTCCACCGTCGAAGAACACACGAGGAGAGTCGGCGTCGCGCTGCGCCGCGTCTCTCGCTCTCGTCTCTCGCTCTCGTCTCTCGTCTCTCGTCTCTCGTTTCTCGTCTCTCATCTCTCGTCTCTCGTCTCCCGTCTCATCGCCAGTTCTATTATCCCTCGCGATCATTCGTAATTCATCGGCGATTATGACTCCGGCCGATTATAATTAACTCCGCAGGCCTGTCCTGGGCCAGGTCTTGCGGGCCCGCGTCATTACGAGGAGATGAAACGGAGACCCGGCCCCGATCGATCTCGAATTAACGATCGAACGATTTGCATCGGGGCGCGCGATTTATCGACCGGCTGGAAACCCGTTTATCGAATTACGCTTTCGAGGTTTCGCGTTTCGAAAAAAATGTTTGTATATCGTCGACGCTTCGATCGTTCGAAATCGTACGCATTTTAGCCGTTTTAGATAATTGCATCGAAATTAAAAGTCGCCACGGTACGGTAGAGTAATCGCGTACAAATTCCGTCGCTTAAAAATGTACGATTAATCGCGCGGAATATCTTGGCCTGCGAACGATCATCGAAATTCAATGTCGTCGCGTTCGATCTTTTCAACGGGCCGACGCATCGCGCGGCGAATGCTCGCTGGAACTCGCCGCGTTTTAATTAACGCTCCTCCCGAGCGAGACCGAGCTTCTTACAATTTTCAGTTTGTCGGATCGGATTCGCGGTGCGTGTTATTACGATCGTGCGTGCACGGTATACGCGTCCGATTTTCGGAGCGAGCGCGTTGCTTCACGGCGAATCGTTTTAATTAAACTCAAGGACCGCGCGGTTCTGCGCGCTCGTGCGCGATCCCGCGCGCTCGGTTAATTGGCGTAATTATCTAAAACGGTAGCCCGGTACATACTATGTATCTAACTGCTGCCAAGGAGACGACAGCATGACGCATGCCTCTATGGAAATGCGTTTCGGATGTTTCGCGTTTTCGTCGCCGCGGACGCGTATATCCGTCCAATAAAGCACGGCCTCGTGAGTTATAGACTCGCCGCGCGATGCTTTCCACCAGACAATTACAGTCGAAATTTAATTATCGCCATCCTGCGGCAAACGACCCTAATTGCCGCGCCGAAATTCCCCTATTTTTCCGCCGGGACATTCGAGCTCGGCGATTCGCTCTTGTAGACCCGTTGCTACGTATCTATATTCTTAATACGGTGAACCGTTTTTCTTTTATTATCTCGTTGTTGTAATTATACGTCGGGACTTTCGTCGTTCGAGGGTACCACAATACAATGGTCCCATACAATCGCGACTCGTACAATTGCATCGAATCGATCGAAAGTTTGCGATCGACGCGTCGACGTTGAAAAAATGGCACTCTAGCCGATCGGATCGACGATGGTGGGGGAGTAAGCGAGAGAACAGACAGAGTAAGGTACGAAACGAGGGAACGTAGCGAAGCTCGTCGACGGGTCGGAGACTAATGCCTCTTAATGTGGCTCCGCGAGACCCGGCAGATAATGAAATTGTGGAGAGAGAGAGAGAGAAAGATGGAGAGGAACCTCGAGTGTCTTAAGAAAGCCCTGCCACTGACCTTTCTCGTAGTTGATTTGCCTCTCCTGCTGCCTCGCGTTGTCGGCCGCGACCTTGAGCAGGCCCTGGATATTCCTGAGCAGGGTCTCGGTACTCGAGACCGAGGGATCCTGGCCTCCCTGCGAGACGGCCACCGCCGCGGAGGCGATTTGAGAGTAGTTCAGTGCCTGAGGACTTTCCGAACCTGGCGCAGCCATCGGCAGGTTCTCCGGCACGTCCGACAGATCTGCAAAAGTTCAAGAAATTCGTTCGGTCGAATCATAATGCGTGCGACAACGTAATCCTGCCTCCCCCTCTCGTTCGATCAGGGTTTCAAAATGATAATCGAAATTCGATGTTTTCGCGAACGAACGATCTCGCGAAACCGTCCGGTTTCTCAGGTTTTCGCCGTCGTTGTAGGTGGGTCCGTGGGCCCAATAAATTTCGCCGGGAACAACGTTCGAGGGAGGTCTCTCGCGTTGCTCGCAGCGCGATCGTCGGCTTACAACGCGTGCGTGTTCCAGAGTCGTAATCCCGGCGCGGACTACTTGTTACCCTTCGCCACGTCTCTGATTTAACGTGATCGCGGACGAATTAAATTCGCGGATTAAACGTTGCGGCCCGTCTCGGGCCGTCTCGACCCCCTCGGACCTCTCGCCCCTCGTACCGACGCGACGGGCCGGGCCTCCGCGGGGGTGCAACACCGAATTGTCTGGTCTCCGGGACCGGGACGCGTCGCGCGTCGTTCTCAGATTTATTCTCGCAGCAGAAACGCGCCGGCGCCGCGGGATTTGCCGGGGAAAACGCAGTAAATCGCAGCTCGGAATCCCGGTTCCTGGAACAGAAACACCGTCGTCCTTCCAGGCTATCGCGTCCGTGGCCCGGCGATCGTTTTGCTCGCCGCGCAGGAGGAGGTTTCTCGCGAGAGCGGAGGACGCGACGCGGGCTAAAAGGCGGGAGTAGTCTCGTTATTCTCGCTCTATCGACGATTAGCGTGGAAGCATGGTTTTCGTCGTTCGATGGAAAGGTGCCAGAGGCGGCGGCGGCGGCTGCGGCGGGCCCGGGGAGACGGTTGGAATAAAGGATGCCTTATGGTTATGGCCGGAGAGGTCCGCCGAGAAAGGAGAAGCGAGAGGCGAGAACGAGAGAGAAAGCGAGAGAGAGAGAGAGAGAGAGGCGAGACAAGACGTCTGCGTGGGTTCTGCGGGGCCTAAGTGACCGAGAGAGCGCTCGGTACGGCCCACACCGTGGTGGCTTTGGTCCAGGGCCCTCTGTTTTACGGCCGATGATACGTGCTTTATTGTATCGTCTTTTAATTATCAGCGCGCGCACCTACAACGCCACGGCATTCGGTTACTTATTGGCATTGGCCGATTTAATGCTCGCGCGCCTTCGGTGCCGATCGACCGGCACCCTTTTGATAGTAAACCAGTCGCCTCTCTCTCTCTCGGATTCTCCGAGAGGCGCTCTCGCCCGTTCTCTTTCTCTCGTTTTCTTTCTTTTCGGGGCCGCTGTGTCCTTCTTCGGCGGAACCCATTAGAATTATCGGTGCCCCGGGGCCACGGGATCACGGGATCGCTCGAGGGGTCCGGTCGCGTCGTTTTCCCGGAGAATCTCGCGGCGTCCCGAAATCGCGGGCGGGTCCGCGAGAATTGGAAGCTCGCGGGACATAGGAATCGCGCGCGCGCGCTCGCGCTGCACCGTCGCGCATCGGATTCCGGGAACGAGGGCGNAGAAACACCGTCGTCCTTCCAGGCTATCGCGTCCGTGGCCCGGCGATCGTTTTGCTCGCCGCGCAGGAGGAGGTTTCTCGCGAGAGCGGAGGACGCGACGCGGGCTAAAAGGCGGGAGTAGTCTCGTTATTCTCGCTCTATCGACGATTAGCGTGGAAGCATGGTTTTCGTCGTTCGATGGAAAGGTGCCAGAGGCGGCGGCGGCGGCTGCGGCGGGCCCGGGGAGACGGTTGGAATAAAGGATGCCTTATGGTTATGGCCGGAGAGGTCCGCCGAGAAAGGAGAAGCGAGAGGCGAGAACGAGAGAGAAAGCGAGAGAGAGAGAGAGAGAGAGGCGAGACAAGACGTCTGCGTGGGTTCTGCGGGGCCTAAGTGACCGAGAGAGCGCTCGGTACGGCCCACACCGTGGTGGCTTTGGTCCAGGGCCCTCTGTTTTACGGCCGATGATACGTGCTTTATTGTATCGTCTTTTAATTATCAGCGCGCGCACCTACAACGCCACGGCATTCGGTTACTTATTGGCATTGGCCGATTTAATGCTCGCGCGCCTTCGGTGCCGATCGACCGGCACCCTTTTGATAGTAAACCAGTCGCCTCTCTCTCTCTCGGATTCTCCGAGAGGCGCTCTCGCCCGTTCTCTTTCTCTCGTTTTCTTTCTTTTCGGGGCCGCTGTGTCCTTCTTCGGCGGAACCCATTAGAATTATCGGTGCCCCGGGGCCACGGGATCACGGGATCGCTCGAGGGGTCCGGTCGCGTCGTTTTCCCGGAGAATCTCGCGGCGTCCCGAAATCGCGGGCGGGTCCGCGAGAATTGGAAGCTCGCGGGACATAGGAATCGCGCGCGCGCGCTCGCGCTGCACCGTCGCGCATCGGATTCCGGGAACGAGGGCGAGATAGCGGCGCGTCTCATTAAATCAGAACTGCATTCCACGGGCGTGTACACTCCCACGGGCGTTCGATGGGGTTCTACTTCGATCACCCGGCGGCCACCATAGCCCAGGATATGTTGTTGCCCGGCCGCACGACACGCTGCGAGACACGGTTCTCTCGGGGGCCCTCCGGCCCCCGCCGACCGGGCCTCCGCCGGCCTCCTCCGGCCACCAAGCTACACGCCGATCCGCAGAAATTTATACGTCTAACTCGTGTCTTTCCCGAAATTTAGGGGCGAACCTAATTCCAGGGTACGCACCCCTGGCTTCCAGCCTCTAATAGAAGCCACCGGGCCCGAGAACCCACCCGGGGTCCTTGGCCTTCGGAATTTCGGAGACCGCGATGCATGTCCGACAGCTTTCTCGAATAATTATGTCTCGTGACAGCGAGCCGTTTTCATCGTTTTCTTCGATGCGGTTCCGAGACCTTGTTGTTACCTTCTTGGATCGATCGGATGTACTACAATTTTATTTCGATTCCATCTCGTTCCGTTCTCGGTCTTTCATTCCTATTCTTTCTTCGAGAATATCAATTTCTTTCCTGCTTCCTCGCGCGAAAATCGAGACGTATCGCGCGTCGATCTCGTTCCCTTTCGTTCTACGAAAAGTGGGATATCGTTCGAGAAAGTTTGCGTCGATTTTGATGTTTACGGCGAAAAGGGTGGCAGTTTCGTCGAGCGTGCGGGGTGCTCGTTTTTCGGTGAGCGATCGAGGCGAGGATTTCGAAGCCTCTAATTGGAATATCCAATTAACGCGGACCGGGCAGGGACAATCGGCGAATCGATTAGGAATCACCGCGATTATGACGCTTCGATGGGTCGAACCGGCCGAGAGAGACAGGTCGGATAGCACCGCGTGGACCAAGATTCTTATCCGGACCCATCTTTCATTATTAAAATGAAACTAAATACCGAAGATGCGAGTCTAACGACCGAGCGGTTCCGACCAGTGGTGCTCCCCCGAGAGGATTCGCCACCCGGCATCGTAAAAGCGCGCTTCCCTCTCGAGCCGAGCGAACACGCGTCGTTCCTCCGTCGAGCTACAATATCGCGCAAATTCTCGCGCAACTCGCGGTAATTGCTACACCGGGAAATTTAATCGACGGATATGCAAATACCGCGGCTCTTCCGACTCGATTAAGACTCGATTAAAAATGCCAGTCATCGTTAGCCGCGATTCGAACGCGGACTCGTCGCGTCGCAACGCTTCGTTCGCGACGCGCGTCTCGTTTACTTTTGTCGCTTCTTTCCCGCATTTCCGCTGTTCCGTCGTCCTCCGTTCACTTTACTTTTCGAAGATCATTGGCACGGTTAAATCGGTGTTTCTTACGTTTTTCTCGGCGGCTCCGATTGCTTTACGCCCGGCGTCAAAACGAACGATTATCGCGCTCTCTCGGCGCTCGACGAGCAGTTCTACGATATCTCTAACGAGGCCTTCGATCCGGATCCCCGATAAAGCTAACAGGCTAAAGTAAATTACAGAATTCCGCCGCTTCGAAATTAAGAAAAATCCGCACGGTCTGGTTATCGGGCGCGACCGCGTGGGAGTCGGCGACCCCGGCGAACAGAATAGTCTCTCTCGGATAATCGCGGGAAGATGCTCCCGCGATTTCCCGCGATCGATCCGTTGCGGGAGAAACGACGCGAACGAGGGTTCGGCTCGCGTAGACAAGATGGTCGGTTGCGCGCCGGTTGCGCGTCGGTTGCGCGTCGGTTGCGCGTCGGTTATCGCATCGGGACTCGGAACACCTTTTCGGGGGACCACGGCGAAAATTCTTTTCGCTGACGGACAGGTGTTTTGACAACCGCTGCACCGAGTTTCTCGGGGGCCCGATAGGGAAAGACGAAATCCCAGAACGGCCGTTCCGCGCCGGGGCCCCGAGAATGATCGATGAGAGGGTCTGACCCGTCAGCGGTCCCGGGAACTCATCTTTAAACGCGGTGTGCCCGACCAGTCGATTCGATATAATTATTTCACGTGATGCCCGTGCCGCGGAACCAGCAACATCGTTTCGACTTTCGGCACACGTCAAATCCGCCGTCACGGTTCGGCTGGCCCCTAATTGATCGAGCGATCGTTGCCCGCGCCAGTCGACGCCTAGATCGCAGCCAACGAGGATCTACCGACTTTTGCTTTCTTTCGGGCTCGGATTCGTTTTCCAATTCGGATATATCCCCGTTTAATTGGAACCGTTTCTTCGTCCTCGAGAGAAAAAGCGCGAGACAATTGGCGATAGAATTACGCGGTCCCAAACCCGATTATTATTTCTATGATATTATGACTAGACCGCGGATTTCGCGCGTTTATGACAGTGTCTACTATCGTACACCAAATATTTTAGTTCAGTTGTCATTGATACTTCTCGATGCAAAGACGTCCGTTCTTCTTTTCGGTTCCGTATTTCCTATCCATCTTTTTATGTTTCGTATTATATAAACCCTTTGCACTCGAAGCCATTTTAACCGTAAATCTAAATTAATTTCTCCGACTTATGATTCCCATTTTATACGACAAAGTGCATTCTATGCATACGAAATTTATAGTCTCGCAGCTCGTACAACGATTAGACTTTTAACAATTCTTTTACGTCTAGACTGTTACAATATAAAAGTTATCTTGGAACGCGATGCAATCATTTTAACGGTGCCTCAGAGTCTCCACTCGAGCGCAAAGGGTTAAATATATTCGTAACATCTCGTCGATCAACATTTGTACGCGCCGTTCAATATTTCATATAATATTCGTTCTTCTCCTACACGCGTAAAACCCCAAAATAACCCGATTTACAGATCTGTGTCCAAAGGATCGGGGATCTCACCTTCGTCCTTCTCGTTGTCGTCGTCGAGGTCCTCGGACAGATTGTCGTCCTCTTCTTCGTCGTCCTGCGATCGGTGCGACGCCTCCGCCTCGCTTCCGGAGTGCTCGCCCACGCTTCCGCTTCCCGCTGTTTTCGACAGGTTCAGCACCGGACTGTGGCCGTTCGAGGAACCTACGGAGCGCAGAAAAGGCACGGTGTGAATCGATCGAAGACACTCGTCGAAACCGGGAATCGAACGCAACCGAGAGCTTTGATGGATCTTATTTGGAAACCGTTTGCACCAACGCGTCTCTATCCCCCCTTGGAGAAAACGAAGGACGATCCGATCCACTCTCCGAGGACGTTGCTCCCTCCCTTCGACCAGTATCTGATTACCTAGCATTTTAATCCTGACGTGGATAGATACTGTTTGGACGCCGAGGATGGCGCATCGTGTGACGCATGCGAGAACTGGACGGGGTTCTTCCAAGTATAGCCGGTATCTAGATTTAGATCTAGATCTCTAGATCTAGATTCAAGACGGAATTTATTTTCATAGAAAGCTCCATGTTTTTTTGGACAGCTGCAGAATTTTATCACCTATCTTGTAACCTTACATTTTATCCGATTATCCTTATCCTTAACAATTTCGAAGCTCTTCCACTCTACAAACCCTACGATTCCTTCTCAACATCTTACGAACCTTCTCGCGAGTCTCGCAACCATTTGCTCTCCTACAATTTGTCCACAGCTCTCAAAATTTCTTAAAACGCCCTGTCCATGCACCTATCTTGTAACCTTACATCTTATCCGATTATCCTTATCCTTAACAATTTCGAAGCTCTTCCACTCTACAAACCCTACGATTCCTTCCCAACATCTTACGAACCTTCTCGCGAGTCTCGCAATGATTCTTTGCTCTCCTACAATTTGTCCAGAGCTCCCAAAATTTCTTAAAACGTCCTGTCCATGCACCTATCTTGTTACCTTACATTTTATCCGATTATCCTTATCCTTAACAATTTCGAAGCTCTTCCACTCTACAAACCCTACGATTCCTTCTCAACATCTTACGAACCATCTCGCGAGTCTCGCAACCATTTGCTCTCCTACAATATGTCCAGAGCTCTCAAAATTTCTTAAAACGCCCTGTCCATGCACCTATCTTGTAACCTTACATTTTATCCGATTATCCTTATCCTTAACAATTTCGAAGCTCTTCCACTCTACAAACCCTACGATTCCTTCTCAACATCTTACGAACCTTCTCGCGAGTCTCGCAACCATTTGCTCTCCTACAATTTGTCCACAGCTCTCAAAATTTCTTAAAACGCCCTGTCCATGCACCTATCTTGTAACCTTACATTTTATCCGATTATCCTTATCCTTAACAATTTCGAAGCTCTTCCACTCTACAAACCCTACGATTCCTTCTCAACATCTTACGAACCTTCTCGCGAGTCTCGCAACCATTTGCTCTCCTACAATTTGTCCACAGCTCTCAAAATTTCTTAAAACGCCCTGTCCATGCACCTATCTTGTAACCTTACATTTTATCCGATTATCCTTATCCTTAACAATTTCGAAGCTCTTCCACTCTACAAACCCTACGATTCCTTCTCAACATCTTACGAACCTTCTCGCGAGTCTCGCAACCATTTGCTCTCCTACAATTTGTCCACAGCTCTCAAAATTTCTTAAAACGCCCTGTCCATGCACCTATCTTGTAACCTTACATCTTATCCGATTATCCTTATCCTTAACAATTTCGAAGCTCTTCCACTCTACAAATCCTACGATTCCTTCCCAACATCTTACGAACCTTCTCGCGAGTCTCGCAATGATTCTTTGCTCTCCTACAATTTGTCCAGAGCTCCCAAAATTTCTTAAAACGTCCTGTCCATGCACCTATCTTGTTACCTTACATTTTATCCGATTATCCTTATCCTTAACAATTTCGAAGCTCTTCCACTCTACAAACCCTACGATTCCTTCTCAACATCTTACGAACCTTCTCGCGAGTCTCGCAATCCTACGATTCCTTCCCAACATCTTACGAACCTTCTCGCGAGTCTCGCAATGATTCTTTGCTCTCCTACAATTTGTCCAGAGCTCCCAAAATTTCTTAAAACGTCCTGTCCATGCACCTATCTTGTTACCTTACATTTTATCCGATTATCCTTATCCTTAACAATTTCGAAGCTCTTCCACTCTACAAACCCTACGATTCCTTCTCAACATCTTACGAACCATCTCGCGAGTCTCGCAACCATTTGCTCTCCTACAATATGTCCAGAGCTCTCAAAATTTCTTAAAACGACCTGTCCATGCACCTATCTTGTAACCTTACATCTTATCCGATTATCCTTATCCTTAACAATTTCGAAGCTCTTCCACTCTACAAATCCTACGATTCCTTCCCAACATCTTACGAACCTTCTCGCGAGTCTCGCAACCATTCCTTGCTCTCCACAATTTGTCCACAGCTCCCAAAATTCCTTAAAGCATCCTATTCATGCACCAATCCATAATTAACATAACTAACATATTTATTTTTCTGTTTCAGGTTCAAATAACAACACAGTTTGTCGCTTCAATCATCGTTTTATTTAGATCTTCGAGAAGTACATCGATCGATAAATTATTTACTAGTTCGATACAATACGATAGATACAATTAGCGTAGTTGTTGCGGTCGATGGGTGGTGGTATCGTCGAGGTTCTTGCGACAGCATGTTCCGATCCATTTCTCGAGCATCCTTCGATCGCAACAGGTCCGGATTCCAACTTGAAAACGTTGCGTTCGCCCGCGAACAGATCCTCGCCACCAGTCGGGATAAAAGGTTCGCTCGGACGGATTAAAATATTACGGGGAATCGGAAGAAAGGCGGTGCCGCGAAACCCGATATCGGACTTAATCTCGGGGGTCTCCTAAACGATCGGCCGGACCAGCAACGAGAAATAAAGAAACGCAGAAGAAGACTGGCCCACGAGCGGACACGCTCGGTTAGCTGGTCGCCGACAGGACAACGTTACAAAATCCTTCCACGCGGCTTGGCTTCGACTTTAATGCGATCTTCTTGGATCGAACCCCTGCGGTCCAAAGGATCCAAACAACAGGAATTTCTTCGATCGACAAGTCCGGAGTTCCTTCGAGCCGATGCTGCGAATGTCTCTTAGATAATAGTAGCCAATGTCCGTCTTCTGTAACGCGATAGTATATAAGAATTATGAATAAAAGCTTTGTTTGAGATCGTAAATCCGTTTACGTTATTTTCAGACCTACCCCTTTACCAAATATCCCAAACACCTGTGCCCAATAGTGTATAAGTGCGCACATTAAAAACGTCGAAAACTTCGAAAATTTCCGGGAAAATTTCGAAAATTGTATCAGGAGCACATGATATGCGAGGAGGTATACTTTTCGAACGTCTGGCCTGACGGTGATTTGTACTACTTTTTCCGGCAATTTTCGGGAAAATTTCGAAAATTGTATCAGGAGCACATGATATGCGAGGAGGTATACTTTTCGAACGTCTGGCCTGACGGTGATTTGTACTACTTTTTCCGGCAATTTTCGGGAAAATTTCGAAAATTGTATCAGGAGCACATGATATGCGAGGAGGTATACTTTTCGAACGTCTGGCCTGACGGTGATTTGTACTACTTTTTCCGGCAATTTTCGGGAAAATTTCGAAAATTGTATCAGGAGCACATGATATGCGAGGAGGTATACTTTTCGAACGTCTGGCCTGACGGTGATTTGTACTACTTTTTCCGGCAATTTTCGGGAAAATTTCGAAAATTGTATCAGGAGCACATGATATGCGAGGAGGTATACTTTTCGAACGTCTGGCCTGACGGTGATTTGTACTACTTTTTCCGGCAATTTTCGGGAAAATTTCGAAAATTGTATCAGGAGCACATGATATGCGAGGAGGTATACTTTTCGAACGTCTGGCCTGACGGTGATTTGTACTACTTTTTCCGGCAATTTTCGGGAAAATTTCGAAAATTGTATCAGGAGCACATGATATGCGAGGAGGTATACTTTTCGAACGTCTGGCCTGACGGTGATTTGTACTACTTTTTCCGGCAATTTTCGGGAAAATTTCGAAAATTGTATCAGGAGCACATGATATGCGAGGAGGTATACTTTTCGAACGTCTGGCCTGACGGTGATTTGTACTACTTTTTCCGGCAATTTTCGGGAAAATTTCGAAAATTGTATCAGGAGCACATGATATGCGAGGAGGTATACTTTTCGAACGTCTGGCCTGACGGTGATTTGTACTACTTTTTCCGGCAATTTTCGGGAAAATTTCGAAAATTGTATCAGGAGCACATGATATGCGAGGAGGTATACTTTTCGAACGTCTGGCCTGACGGTGATTTGTACTACTTTTTCCGGCAATTTTCGGGAAAATTTCGAAAATTGTATCAGGAGCACATGATATGCGAGGAGGTATACTTTTCGAACGTCTGGCCTGACGGTGATTTGTACTACTTTTTCCGGCAATTTTCGGGAAAATTTCGAAAATTGTATCAGGAGCACATGATATGCGAGGAGGTATACTTTTCGAACGTCTGGCCTGACGGTGATTTGTACTACTTTTTCCGGCAATTTTCGGGAAAATTTCGAAAATTGTATCAGGAGCACATGATATGCGAGGAGGTATTCTTTAAAATGTCTGGCCTTACGTTGAGTCGTACTACTTTTTCCGAAATTTTCGGGGAAATTTCGAATTTTGTATCAGGAGCACATGATATGCGAGGAGGTATTCCAAACTCTATGTCTGGCCCGACTCTGACTTGTACTACTTTTTTCGAGAATTTTCGGGAAAATTTCGGATTTTGTATCAGGAGCACATGATTTGCGAGGAGGTATTCCAAACTCTATGCCTGGCCTGACGTTGACTTGTACCATTTGAGAGAAAATTTTTCGAAAATATCTGACGAAATTTCGGATTTTGTATCAGGAGAACACGATGTGCGAGGAGGTATTCTAAACTTATCGTTTGGATGGTTTGGATATGGTTGGGTTATTAAACGAACGAGAAATTTGATTAAAAATTTTTTATTTTTAACAACTTGTATCAAGATACAACAGGATTAACGCTATGATCCGTGCGAGGAGGTGTCCGAAATCGTCGAAAAACGTTGATGCAGTTGAAGCGAATACCTAGAAAAAATGAATTATTAGTTGTGGAACTGATACCTAAAATTCGATAATGGAAATGAATTTAAATAGGACTACCTACCTGTTGCGAATGTTATTACTTACCTTCGGAAATTACAAGAGTGTTTGATAGTTACCTTTAAGGTATTCGGGGATGTCAGGAGCGTCTCGGAGGTGTTTGGGAGGCTCGACGATCTTCGAGTAGTCTCCGAGAAATCTCGGAGACCACTGACAGATGTCCGAAGAATTTACAGAGAGGTAGGAAGACTGTTTGAAAGGTGCTCAGGTGTTCCGGTGGGAGCTCTAAAGAACATGTGGCAGCACTCCGAAGTCCTGGACGTTCCTCCGAAGTCTCGAAGAACCTCGGTGGATCAAACGCGTCGATCAGGTTTGCGACGATTCGACGTTGTCGATCGAAATCGCGGCGGCCGATAAAAAACGCATCGACAACTGTCCGACGCGTTTTATCTTGCGATCGAGCAACGACGCGAAGCGTAAGCCGAGCGGCTCCGACGTACGATCGAAGAACGAGAGAAAAATCTCTTTTCCCCGGCAGCGATTCGTCGGCGAGCCGCGCGAACGCGACGACCTCGAGTCACGAATATTCGAACGCGCGGTGTGCGTCGGTCGAGACGTATCCTCCCGCGTAATGGTACTCGGTTTCCCCGGGATGCCGGCGTTATTCGCGGTATTATCGGCCGATTACTGTAATTACGGTAAACGAGCGTACGCGTATTTATCTTACCATTGTGCGAGCTCAGATCCCTGGGTTTCTGGTCCAACGCGAGGGCCCTCTCGGCGTCTCCTCTCTCCTCGCGGAGCCTGCAACCAGAGAACCACACACGGCCCAGCGTTAGTGCATCGATTCCGGCGGATTTTCAATCGGCCGAGCGCGGAGGTGGAGACCCGGCTCGGCCGAGCAAACAGCATTAATTAGATAATTATTCTAGCCGTCGGCCGCGTAGGAAGATAAGTGCCGGTTTCTCGCGCAGCGTCGACCGATCGTTTCGCGACGACTCCTTTTCCTGCGTCGTTTCGCGCGTACTCGAACCGATCGCTGTTACGATCCCCGCTTTCTCTCCGTTTATATTTCTCGGCGGGCCACCACAGCCGGAGAAATAAATCGAAAGGCCAGAGGTCGGAACGGTTCCGCTCTCGGCTCTCGGCTCTCGTTAGGATCCTAACGACGTTCGAACGCGATTTCAATGTTCGCCGGCCTTTAAATGGCGAGAAACGAGGCGACGCGAGTCCTCTCGCTGCCCGTTACCCGGTGTCCCTCTCGCTCTCGGTCTCCTTCTCTCCGCCTACGCCTCTTTTATTTTCTTTCGGTTTCCTCGAATGTTCGGCTTTACGAGGGCCAGGCTCGTTAAGGTACACCAGCGAGGCTTTATGCTCCTGCACCGCGAAACTTTTAATCTCGCTCCTGCTATATTGTTCGACCCGAAGCGACGAGGCCCTTTGCTCGGTAGCTCCGCCGGGATCGTTAACATCGGCGCGAGAAAGACCGGCCAGATGGCTCCGAACGACCCATTTTACATTTCCCGTCTCGCGAACGTCGAAAACCCCCGCGGCGGAAGATTCGCGTTTGCGATGGAATCGAGGAAAACGAAAGGAACGAATACCGGAAAAGAAGAGGTTCCAGAAGAATCGCCGATGGGGAGGGGAAAGAAAACATCGGCGAGTTGGTTCGAGAAAATTCGAAGCGCCGTATTATAAATTCTGATTCGCGGAAAGAGAAACGCGAGGGCGAAGAAAGTAATATCGGGAAGAACACGGTCCGTTAACGACAGTGGGAGAAAAGATTTATTATTCCGCGAGAGCAAGGCGAAGCAACGTCGAGAGACCACCCACCGTTCGTTGGAGAGCGACAAGTTCGAAAGAGGGGTAGAAGGAAGAATCCGAGGAGCCATTAAGGTTGCTCGCGTACTTACGAATTTATTCCGCGAGATCTACCGTTGGAGGAAGCGGACGAGGAGACGAACGTTTCGCGGCCGATTAGGCTCTTGGTTCGTTTCCTCGTCCCGCAAATTATTCTCCCGGGTATACTTTTTCCGGCAGGGAGAGAGAGGACGAGGGCCCGCCGTTCGCGCCTCGAATCGAACCGCGGACCATTAAGTAAGAAGTTAATATCATTAAACATAATATTGGGCGCATCTGGGTGCCGCAGAGCACTTACCGAGCGCCCGACCCGGCCCGTCTCTCTCCCCCGACTCCGACTTCGACTCCGACTCCGACTCCGACTATCCTCGAACGAGCAACGCGGCCACCCCCGCGCAAGCCTCGCGAGCTCGACGAGCCACCCCCGACATCCCCGTCCCCCGAACCTTAATTTTTTAATGAGAAAATGCTTTCAAAGAGCCGGGAGAGAAATACCGTGGCGCGGCCGCCGACGAGTCACCGCTCCTTCGTATCTCCGTCCTTGTCTTTCTTCGCGTCCGCTCGGTTTTCGCACGGCTCTCTACGCGTTAGAAATTTCTTGTTAACTCGCCGAAGAAAGGCGTTCCACACATTGCAACGAATTCGATTCGAGCACGCGACCGAGTCGACTGGAATGCAAACGCGAAGCAAAGGATTAGACGTCGAATAGAACGGAATACGATTGCAGAAGCGCGCGTAGTCGCGACGACAGCGATTTCGGATTTTCGGACAGCGCAGTCTTTCCATTGGAAAGAAAAGAAGCTCGAATGCGAGCGACGGTTGCAGCGAGAGGAGGAACGAGAAGAGGAGACGTTCCGGCTGCGAGTGGGTCAGAGAACGTTCCCATGGAGTCCTGAAGGAGGTCGGGAACGACCGTTTAACGACAGCGAGCGACGGGGACAAGACTTGGCCGGCGAGCGCGGCGGCCGGGAACGAATGAACCGAGCGAAGGCTTCGACGTCGTAACGACTTAATTTTCGGGGATAATTAAATTTTAATTGGTAATACGAGTCGATTAAGAAGGCCGATGGGTATCTCGGTCCGCCTCCGTGCGGGCCTCGAAGCTTTCTCGCTGGACCGACGAATTCGAGGGAACAAGGATATGCGAGGAGATTCCGGCAAGGCTGCCGTGAACAAAAGCGAGACGGAGAGAGGCGCAGAGCGAGAGAGCGAGAGAGAAAGAGCGAGAGAGAGAGGGAGAGACTGAGAGAGTGCGAGAGAGAGAGACGGAGAGACCGAGAGAGAGAGAGAGAGAAAGAGAGACGGAGAGACCGAGAGAGAAAGAGAGAGAGGGAGAGACCGAGAGAGCGAGAAGGAGAGACCGAGAGTGCTAGAGAGAAAGAGTGAGAGAGAGAGAGAGACCTAGAGAGCGAGAGGGAGAGACCGAGAGAGTGCGAGAGAGAGAGAGACCATGACAGTGCGAGAGAGAGAGGGAGAGACCATGACAGTGCGAGAGAGAGAGGGAGAGACCATGACAGTGCGAGAGAGAGAGACAGGGAGAGACCGAGAAAGTGCTAGAGAGTAAGAGCGAGAGAGAGAGAGAGAGAGAGGGAGGGACCGAGAGAGCGAAGGGGGGAGACAGGGAGAGACCGAGAGAGCGAGAAGGAGAGAGCGAGAAGGAGAGACTGTGACAGCGCGAGAGAGATGGAGAGAAAAAGAGAGAGAGCGAGAGGGAGAGACCGTAACAGTGCTAGAGAGAAAGAGAGAGAGAGAGACAGGGAGAGACCGAGAGAGTGCTAGAAAGAAAGAGCGAGGGAGAGAGAGACAGGGAGAGACCGAGAGAGTGCGAGAGGGACAGAGATAGGGAGAGACCGAGAGGGAGAGACCGAGAGAGCGAGAGGGAGAGGGAGAGTGAGAGACTGTGACAGCGCGAGAGAGGAAGAGACTGTGAAAGCGCGCGCGAGAGAGAGAGAGAGACCGAGAGAGTGTGATAGAGAGAGGAGACAGGGCGAGACCGAGAGAGCGAGGGGTAGAGAGCGAGAGGGAGAGACCGAGGGACCGAGAGAGTCCTAGAGAGAAAGAACGAGAAAGAGAGAGGGGGAGAGACCGAGAGAGAGAGAGGGGGAGAGACCGAGAGAGAGAGAGAGAGAGGGAGAGAGACCGAGAGAGAGAGAGAGAGAGGGGGAGACACCGAGAGAGCGCGACGGACTGAGGCGGAGAGCGAGAGTAAGAGAGAGAAAGAGAGAGGGAGGGTCGATTCGCTTAGACGTCGCCGTAGCCGTAGCCGTAGTCGGCAACCAGGCGGGGTTATTAAATTTGTAATTAGTCGAATATTACGGCGATCGCGATCGCGTTCCACGTTCCGCGTTCCTCGTCTACGTCTTGACAGTTCCGGGCGGAACGTTTGCGTGGCGCGTTTACGCGCGCCCCCGCGCGTTTACCGGCGCGTTTGCCCGGCCTCCTCGCGTGAGTAGACACCTAGTCGCGCGTTGCACACCCTTTGCGCCGCGTTAATATATCATGAGATTTCATTACGCGTACCTACGGGTTCGGTTTCCAGCGCGCGGAAACGCTCGCCGCTAGTCGCGAATAATTAGCGCGCGCCGCCTCCGCGAGCCCGGCCCGAGGCCGCAGCCTCGCGAGAAGCTAGCGTCTCGAAAACTCTGCGTCGACCGTCGTCGCCGATTCCGATCGCTGAAGCACCGAGGATCGCGTCGAGAAGGATCGGCCGACTGGCGTCGGAACGATCGCGAACGGAGCGTTTTGAGATCGGATTCGCGGCGAATCGCGATCGAAAAGGGAAAGAGGGGACCGGGGTCGAACGCGCGTCGGTCGATCTCCGTCGTCGATCGAACGGTATCGATCCCGGGTCCCGTCAATTACCGCGCGGCGGTACGCGCAGGAAACTAATAAGCCTCGGAACGGCGCCCTTCTCCAGATCTTTGGCTTTAATTTTGATTCGGTAATGACGAGCTCCGCGGGGATCCCGAGCGGAAAGCGTCCGGGAACGACCTAGCCGCGCAGCGGGAGTTCATTAACAGAGGCGTATTCCGGACTGCTCGAAGAAACGCGATTTCGGCCGGCGCGTAACGCGAGCATCGACTCTCGGCCCGCAATCATCCTCGATAACGATCCCGCTATGCAACGCGTTCTTCGTCCGCCCATCCCATCTCTCTCTCTCTCTCTCTCTCTTTATTCGTTGCTTCCTCGTGAAATCGTATTTTTCATTAACGCGCGTCAGTTTTTTCTTTTGTGCGGTGGAAACACAGGGGACACGCGAGGGTGCCCGTGTCGTTTTATTTGGAAAAAAACGAGTCAAAAGGATCGCGGGACGCGTGACTCGCGTTCCGATAATGACGGGGAACAGTTGTAATTTCCAGGCGGACAAAGAGCCGGCCAAATTGGCGAAAGTATGCCGCCACCGCCGCCGCTTTTTCGATAAACGAGCCCGGAGACCGACCTCGAATATTTCCCTCGTTCCACGGAGCAAGAGGGGCGGAGGGATATGGCGAGGCAGAGAGAGAGAGAGAGAGAGAGAGAGAGAGAGAGAGAGAGAGAGAGAGAGGGACTGGCAAAGTTTCCGCAAGCTCCCGGGCCGACACGTTTACGAATCGAACGCGACGATTGACCGACCCCTACGCGCGACCTCGCTCTTGTAATTTTAATTACGCGGGCTGGAATCCGAGGCGCGATTGCGTTACACTTTTGCCAGACCGAGAGAAAAGGGAGTCGCCTGTCGCGAAAACGAGTCCGCTCCCCCGGAATATCCGAGTCGAAATAATAAACGAGTCGGTTTTGCCACGAAGGGGGTGCCCCCGGTAACGGGATCCAAAGTGCGCGCGATCCTGAAAACGCGACCCTCGAGCGACTGTGACATCCGACGCGAAAGGGGTGCTTCTTCTCCCGTGACTCGTTCCTTCCGATATTCCTTATTTCCGACGACTTTACGCGCTGATTATTACGAG